TTTTAATAAAGATAAATACTGACAAATAGGACTAACAAATACTCCAGTACAGGATGAGAAAGACGTGCTTTATTAACAGTAATGTGGGTAAAAGAGACTACCAGACTTGAGTCAGTGGAAACCTCACCATGAGTCAACAGTAACATGATCCTACACTCAGTGACAGATATATGGCCTGACCCCAGCAAAACTCCCTGAGGTCCTGGATGCCCCTCTTTAAAAGGGATAGAGATGAACTCAAAAGTGTGCACAGAATGTAACCCAGGTGGAAACCTGGCCTCATACTATATCATATGAGAAAAAACTCAGGTATGAAAGGAGTTAGTTTCTATTACAGAGCCTGATTACTAACTTCTAGTACATAGCTGCTGACTGTTCTGCATGACTTCAGAAGTTGAAAGAGAGACTGATGTTGACTCAGTGTAAGGAGGAACTTTGTAATTTTCAAAACAGTCCCAGTGATGGAAATATTGCCTGGGACGTTCCACATCACTAGAGATGCACAAGCCTAGCTGGAAAGAAAGTTCTCTCTCTAAGTTTTGCAGGAATCGACAGGGAATTTAGACTAAATGGTCTCCAAAGTCTCTCAAACCCTGTAATCTGTGATTCCTTTACTCTAAAGCAAGTATTTACTAATAGCAGAGCAGGAATGCACATTTGATACCCTAACTATATTAAATCACCCTAATTCATTAATTCTCCATTATTTTTTGTTTTGGTTGGGGGTACCAGGGATTGAATTCAGGGGCACTCAGCCACTGAGCTACATTCCCAGCCATGTTTTGTATTTTATTTAGAAACAGGGTCTCACTGAGTTGCTTAGCACCTCGCTTTTGCTGAAGCTGGATTTGAACTCCAGAGCCTCCTGCCTCAGCCTCCCGAGCCACTGGGATTACAGGTGTGCACCATCGGGCCTGGCTCATTCTCCATTATTCTTGACCATGACTTGGTGTGGATAGAAAGCTAGCCCCTGGTAAATCCAGGGTTCAATTGTTGGCTCTGACCCTTGCTGACTGAGCCTCAGTTTTCTTTGAAATGGGAAACAAGCAAAGGTTGACCAGTTAAGGTTAAAAACGCCTGCCGTGGGATAAGACAGATGGCCTCAGAGGGAAGCTTCTTCCTCCACTCACTTAAACCTTAAACAGGCTGCATGGCTTCTCATCAGGAGGCACATGGTTTTGTTTTGTTTTTTCCATATTTGTGTGTATACACATGTGTAAGTGTTTGTGTGTGTGTGTGTGTGTGTGTATTGTCATGAAGGCTTCTAATGAAGATATGTTAAATAATGTAAATGTTTCTCCTTCAGAGAGAGAAGGGAAAGAAAAGGGGTGAGCATAATTTTATCATTTTGTGTGTACCAAACTCTGGTTGAAAGTATCAGTCCTGGTAATACTAAAAATATACGGATTTCATAAATTTTTCCAAGATCTGTTCTTTGATTTCAGCTAAAACTCTGTGGTGCTGCCTGCTATAGTGTGGACTCTACCTTAAAAAGTCCCAGATTGCAGTTGGGCCTGATGGCACATACCTGTGAATCAGGAGACTGAGGCAGGAGGATCATGAGTTCAAAGCCAGCCTCAGCAAAAGCAAAGCTGCTAAGCCACTCAGTGAGACTCTGTCTCTAAATAAAATACAAAATAGGGCTGGGGATATGGAGCAGTGGTTAAGTGCCCCTGAGTTCAATCCCTGGTACCCACCTCCAAAAAAAAGATCCAGACTCCAGTCTGACCTTGGTTCATTTGCCACCCTTTTAAAACATAGATCAGATCAGATCTGCCCCCTACTCAAAACTCTCAGGAGCTAATAGCTCAGAACCCTTACCAGGAGTGAGGTGTCTTCCCCTCACTCCTCTCAGATCACAGTCCTTGCCACTCATGCCCTTCCCAGTGCATTGTGACCACCATGACCTTGAAGTGTGAGTCTGCCTCGGGGCCTCTGCACTTGCTATTCTCTCTGCCAGGAGTACTCTTCCTCCGGTATTCATATAACCCACTTTCTCCTGGCATTCAGGATCTGCTCAACTGTCACATCACTGAATTATTCTGCCTAAAAGAGTAATCCCCTCCAACAACCTTTATCCTTCACCTTATTAATCATGTTTTCTTAATAGTCATCATTGCCTGACCTACTGAATATCTTTTGTTGAAATTTTATTAGTTATTCCCTTTCCTATTAGAATCTAAGTCCATGAAAACAGTGGCCATGTCTGTTTTACTCACTACCTTATCTCCAGTATGTAGAACAGCACAGAACCCAGCAAATGATAGGCACAAACATTTGTTGAATGAATGAATTCAAGAAGGACATTGGTCCAGGTCCATGCCTGTAATCTCAGTCAAGTGGGAGGCTGGGGCAGGAGGATCACAAATTAACAAGACTGTCTTAAAATAAAATAAAATAAAAGTTGGAGATATAGCTCAGTGGTAAAGTGCCTTGGGATCAATACCACACATAATCATCATCATCATCATCATCATCATCATCATCATCATCATCTTGCACAAGACACATATTCCCACTTGTGTTCTAGTCTTAAAGGAGGGGGTTGAATTAGAAAATCTTCAATTTCTTCTCATCCTCTAAGGTTCAATGCTTCTTGAGTTTCCTAAGATAGTGTTCTCAATCATTATTTTAAAAAGAAATTTTTTCTTAAGGAACAATTTAGTTCTGAGAAACCAAAAGTTCTAGAAAATATATTATCATTTCTATGAGAAAATATTGTTCATAGAAAAAAGCACGTTACCATCCTCTATTTTAAATATATTCTTCCAAAGATGTCATCTCACATATCTAGACACCACCATTTTGCTGAGAAAGAGACTGAATTTTCCCATTGCCTTCATGGGGACTTTGATCCTCAATTATACAATTGCAAACCATCTTCATTTTTGGAAACCCTAGTGAGACTCCAGAGTTTGGGATGGATGGAGAGACCACTCATTCCTCTAACATCACAAGGAAAATTCAGGAGCTGGCTAATTACATGTGATGGTGCAAGTAATTCCTTGCATCTGCCGACAGCTGGCCTGAAAGAGGCTTCTGAGAATGTTGGACCAATTGGAATGTCCTCAGCTTGCTGGCTTTGCACTGGGCCATCAATGTTGCCATTTTTGCCCTCAGTTGCCAAGTACTTTTCTTTTCATAATGTGTTGGATAACTTTAAGTTATTTGCCTTCCCCAAATGTTCAATGACACTCCACCCCATTTATACATGTGACAAAACTGTGGGCCAGAAAGAATAAAAAACGTGACAAGAATATTTTTTATCTTCCACATCACTACAACTCTAGGACCTAGAGTAGGTACTCAACAAATAGCTATTGAGTGAATGGCAGAGTGGTGGCACTAGGATTTAAAACCCAGTGTATCTAGATGAAAGCCAGTTCTTTTTTCACTCCATCCTGTGACCTCGCAGTACTCACAGAGTTAGGAAGGTCAGAGGCAACCCAGGTGAGGTAAGACAGGCCCAGTCTTCTTAAGGCTCTTTGTCCTAGGGCCTCTGTGCCTCACTTGTATCTGGAAAATGTTTGTCATCTTGAGATCATGAAACAGTAGAGTACAGTAAAAAGAAAAAAAAAAAAAACCAACCAGGACTAAGGCTCAGACATTCCAATTTCGAATTCTGGCTCTACATCTTACAACTTTATGCCAGTTTAGCTCCCTGAACCTCCGTTTTCCTATCTATGCAATGGTCATATTAATCTCTTACTCAGAAGGCCCCTGAAAGGACAAATTGCCTGGCACTTAGTAGGCCCTCAGAATTTGTATGCATTATAAATATTAATGAAAGAGACCACGATGCCCTTGGGTCTCACAGTCTATTTGCTGTGAATAGTTCCTTCATTAATACGGCAAGTTACCACTAGGGGACACTGAACTAGCAAGAAACGGGAAAGAACAGACTGAAGGAGACAAAAGCACTCATGTTTGAGCTAGTGGCTTCTCCCTACTGGATGAATCGCTGAACTACATTTGTTGCCATCAGACTCACCGTTTGTGGGGGAGCATTTGAGAGAAGGGCATCCTCAGGACTACTAAACACCCAATACCATAAGGAAAGAACTCTGTTTCAATGCTGTGGTTAGGTGACAATATCTACACATATGTCTCCTCATCACTGTAGCAGCCACAGCAAGTTAACTGTCTTCCCCTGAATCTTCTAATGATGGCAGGCTCTAGGCTTAAGCAGATAGCTATCTTTCAGTGTTTTCACTAATATTCTGAGACTGAAACTGCTGGCAGCCTTTTTGTATACGTTTGGCAGAAAAAGAAGTTGTTTTTAACCTTAGTTATGTAAAGATATGCATATACATATGTCACATAAAGTCTTATTTCCTGCTCCTCTCTTGACCCTGTACAAAGCTGAAATCTCCTAGAGAAGCACCAGTGAAGTTGCCCCTGCATTTTTCCTTAACAGAAGACAAAAACATTCATCCTCTCTCCACACTGAAAACCATTTCTCAAATTTTCTGTTTTAGATTATAAAAACCTTTAACAGCCAAAATAGGATTCTATGATGTAAAACTTAATTCAATAAAGGTCACATTTCCAAAGTCTGATCCTGATTGGCATGTCTATGTAATTTACCATGGAAACCGAGACATTGTTTAGAGGGAAACTGGATGTTAGTAATAAATATGACAGACAACAGGCATTGACTGAGTTTGTGATCACTTGGTGCTTAATTGTGTTTAGAAACTATTGAGATTTTGACTATCTTAAAGTTTTACCTGGAGGAAAAAAATCTTTCCATGAGAAGTACTTGTGCTTATTCTGCACAAATAAGACTGCCTTGGTTGCAAGGGCAAGTTGGTATCTGCCTCCTTAGAGATGGGTGGAGTTCTTTCACATTTTCTCTCTCTCATCTGTAATCCCTTGTGAGTCCTTTCTTTAAGAAGGAGTCTCTCTGGCAGCTACATTTCATCTGAAGACCTGTACCCCCAAACCCTCACCTCCCTGGCAAACTCTGAACTCTGCCACCATTGTGCTTTTGCTCTTTCTGTGATTTTTTTTAAACAATGTTTCTATGTAACTGTCATTTCAAAGTCAGTTTTTACCAGTTTCCTATTCTAAGCAACAGTTACAATCCATTTCTGCAAGAATGAAAATAACATACCAATTATTCAACGAATGGCTCCTAAGAAGTAAAATTTTGTCTTTACTTGTTTTATATGAATATAGAAGTATATTCATATAAAGGGAAGAGTAAAGGTCCAGGGGCATACATAGATCCAGCTGACCAGAAGCAGATGCTGGGCTTTTAGGTGCACGTAAAGTTAAAGGGCCACACCACCAATTGGGTATTTTCCAATGAACAACAGTAGGCTTTCTGGAAAATCTCACTAGAAGGAAATGAGCTTTATGAGGCCACTTGAATATTACATATTAAAATTCAGACTAAATAAGGAAATAGAAAGGAAGGAATAGATACCTGTGAAGACAGAAGACAAGGGCCATGCTTTGTTGTTCTCTGCTTCCTGGGCACACAACAAACAAAAGTTAGAATGTTTGCTGCTATAAAAAAATCATCCTGATTCTTCAGATGGCTCCCTGATCACTTCAAGTAAGAGGAGATAACACACACACACACACACACACACACACACACACACCAAATAGTCAACAATTAAAAGCCTAGTGTATTATAAAAAAAGCATATTCAGAATTTCTAAACTGTCTTCTTCCTTCCCTCTTCCCTTTTCTCCTTCCTCCTCCTCCTCCTCATTTTAGCAAGAGACACTAGTACTCTGGTTTTTTTTTACAAGCCTATTTGTTTATCCTGATTGGCATGTCTATGTAATTTACCATTTTAAAATAATGATTTTAAAAATCCTGGCATGGTGGTGCACGCCTATAATCTCAGCAGCTCGGGAGACTGAGGCAGGAGAATCGTGAGTTCAAAGGCAGACTCAGCTTCTCACTAAGAAAACCTTCTTAATGAGGCCCTAAGCATCTCAGAGAGACCCTGTCTCTAAATAAATATTTTAAAAGGGTTGGGGATGTGGCTCAGTGGTTAAGTGCCCCTGGGTTCAACCCTCAGTACCAAAAAAAAAAAAAAAAATCCTTCAGGGTCTTAAATTCAGTGGTAGAAAGAGCTCCAGTCAGATGGTGGTTCTTGTAAGCAATTTGCAACCCTCATTCCAGGCAGGGTCCAGTGGTCTTAAAACAACTTCAAACCCAGCTCTGGATTTCCCTTAATAGCCCACCCAATCATCCACAAACATATTTATTAGATGATTTCATCAGTTGTTCTAAATAACAACTTGCACATATCATAACTTAGAAGAAAAATACCACACAATCAGGTTGGTCCAAACATAGCCCCAACTTTGACAAACCCTGTGGCTCTTTCCCTCTTCTCTCACCTTTGGCTTGACCCACAGCACAAAATGTTCAGTGGGCAGGAGCCATCATTATTTCTCTAGGGCCCTGAACACTGGACTTCTGTTTATAAGTTCAGTTCCCAAATATTTCCTCAGAACACTCAACCGACAGTGAAACTCCATTAGTTAATTTAGTCTCCATGAACATACCGTACATGACCCCTTCTTCTCTGGTAAAAAACTAACTTAAACAAAAAATAAAAGATTTAAAATGTTTTTTTTTCCTCATAAATAAAAAGGTGTTACCCAAAGAGCTTCTTGTCTAAGGCAAAGAGGTAGCAAGAAAAAAAGGGATTAAAAAAAAGAAAAAAGAAAAAGAAGAAAACCTTCCTGAGAACTAAAGTACAATTTTGCATTCAAGAGGGTGGAAAGTTTGCTGCCAGGGCACATGGGCATTATAATTATAAATTAGCTGATTCTTCTAGGTCCTGCTGGGCATCCAGAACATTTGGCTGTGTTTGTGTCAATTTACCTGAAGTCATTACTCAGGAAACAGGCTATGTTCCTCACTTAGCATGTTCTTTTTAAAGCACTGGAATTGGCTCATTAAAAGAGCCTTTTGTAAAGTAAAATGAAACTTTTGCTCATGTGAATTTTTCCTTACTTAATTGCTGAATTCCTTTTTTAGTGTATAGGATTTCCTCAAAGTGAAATGCCTTCATTCAGTGATTTGCTACAAAGGACATACCACGTTAAATTTTCCGTAAAATCTAATAAATCAAGGAGGGAAGTAAAATCCATTACTGAGTCTTTTTCTCCTTATGAGGTGATAGAAAATTGCTCCCTCTCTTGTAGTACATTAACCCCCAGCGTGCCAGGGTCATCTCATCTTGCAGTAGCCGTGAATGAATGGCTACGAGGGAGCTAAGGCTCACTTACCATCAAATAAACTACAATAATTATTTCTTCATATCCAATTTATCATGTTGCAAAACAAACAAACAAATCTGAAATTGTATGAAATGTTCTTATGTGTAGCTTAAACCCGCCTATGGAAATAACCACATGAACAGAGGCTGTTTCCCTAGCAGCAGGTCAGCTGAGTTCTGCCCATTCCAATTGCAGTGTCCATGCAAGATCAGGCAATTCTGATCTAGGATTGATGGAATAACTCAAATAACTAACCCATTCTAACTACTCTACCACTATGGAACTTCTTTTAAATGACTGTGAAGGGCAAAACATGCAAATCCTCCTAGATCTACCAGTTTTCTGTTTCATTCTGCTTAGTGTAACTAACAGCTAATAGCCCTAAAGGTGTCTCTTAGTGTAATGAGACATTAAGTAATCCTGACTGGCCATCACCTCATCAGTGCACCTATCTGCAAAGGGGAAGAGTTTTGTTTATGAGATGGGTCATAATACGAATGACATTTGATGACAGTTCTGCCTCAGAAGTGGGTTCTTCCCTACAAAAAGAAGACAGAACATTTCCTGAAAAAGCCTTTCTCCCTTTGTCCAGTATTGCATACCTTCCCTCTGAAAAGGAAAACAATTCAAATATGACAATTTCCACATGGGTTGGGTTTTGCTTAAGAAAATGGAAGGAAACCCTCATTGTTATACAGAATACATGTATGATGATATGAGGGGGAAAAAAAAGAAAGAAGTGTGTCACATTAGATTGGGTAGAGAGAAGTGATAGGAGGGGAGGGGAGGGGAAGGGGGGAAGGGAAGGACAGCAGAATAAAATAGACACTAGTATTGCTGTGTATATATGCATAACGGCATGACCAATGTGATTCTGCAAACTGTACACTCAGAAAAATGAGAAATTATACTCCATTTGATTCAAATGTATGATATGTCAAATCATTGTACTGTTATGTGTAACTAATAAAAAAAAAGAAAATGGAAATACATGAACATGTCTGACTGATTCCAGCATAAACTTCCATGTATGTGTTGGCTTATATGGCAGCGAGCTTCCCAAGGGAGAATGCACCACGGTTCTGATGACAATATCAGCTTTCCCTCTCAAGAACTGGCCAGGCTAAAAAGCAATCCCTTTGTCTAGAGCCAATACCCTTCACCCAAGCATATTATTATCTTAGTAATCAATTTCATAGAAAAACAACATTTGATCAAAATTAAGTTAGGGTGTCTGATAAGCTGGAGCCTTTGCTATTTGGTTTCATTTTTCACAAGTCAAGATTTGACCCAAAGTTCAGGGAGATGAATTTAAGATACCTGAATGAAAACACACATCTTGCTGCTTTGGCAAAGCTTTTCAGCTACATAACCTTGGGCTTTGCTCACAGAGTTAGAAGGATCCTTAAAGATGATCTAGTTCTGTGGAGAAACTGAAATCAAGCCAGGCCATGCTACTTGCCACAGGTTGTGACCAAGCAATACCAGAAACCAGCCTCTCCTACTACCTGACACAGCTCCTGCCAACACACCACGATATTGTTATTTACATTGGTGTTTAATTAATAAGTGAGCCATGGCAGTATGCACCAGTCTCAATTTTTGCATGTATTCTAACATTATACAAGCTTACATAAGTATATTTTATGACTAACTAGTATTCAGGGAGTATCTCCTTTTAAAGAACTATCATCTTGCAAAAAAATTAATATCTGGTAAATCAAACCACCTGGTTTCTGACATATTATACCCCTTCAATCAGAGCTCTGAAGCTAGAGTAATTCAAGCACAAAACCAGAAAATAATCTAGCAGGGTGGGTCCCATTAAACATGGCAGACCTCAAGGCCAGTGTTCCAAGGGGTGGGAAAGGCAGCAGCCAATCAAGAGCACCCGTCCAGGGGTTAAAAAGTAGCACAAGAATGGGGCAGAGGTAAGATATTGAGCCAGAGACCCACCCCTAGGCTCAAGTTGACTTGAGACTCAAAAGAACTAAAATCCTTCAAAAAAATGTCCTGCCAAAAATTAGCAACAAACATGATAATGCATGAGAACACTGATGTTTTTGAATGTCTTCAAATTACTAGAAGTTTCTGAATAATAAATCCTCTCCTGCCCCTACCCTCAGGCTTTATATAATCAATGTTATGTAACTACTCTATGACATTTCAATAATGCCTTTATATTTTACCTAAGTTCCTTTTTTTTCCATTTTCCAAGATGAATTATGGAAATGTCTAACGGGCACATGACTATCCAACATTAAAACTCACGTTCAGTTGAAGACATTCCCCCAAGCCAACTCATGTGGCCTTTTCCCCAATTATATGTGCATTAGCTAGTACATCCATGCACACGAGTGCGTGCACAGACACACACACACATACACACACACACACATTCCCAAAAAACAAATTTAAAAATATTGAGGAAGGCCATTCACATCCATCCAGTGTAGAATTTCTCAGGTGGACCAGACCATACAGGTGAGCTCATCAATTACCAGGCTTTACTGAGTACTGAGTGGGGCAGAAGGATCACTGTGGTAGCTGCTTGTTTTCCTCAGCACACTCAGGTTCTCTTTTTAAAAACTGACCTACCTCCTTAGCACTCAAATGTGACACTGATGCCTTTAGAGGGGAAAAACAACCAACTTCCAAATGCCCCAATGGATCCCTAGACGCCAGGGAATACTGGCTGGTTGGCAGTACTAATTGCCTGTCTGGCATTTCCAAGCTTCCTACCAGAAGACAGGCAGAGCCCAGTGTACATGCCCTTCCCTTGACTCAAAGCAGGTCAGCTCCCAAGGAAATTCAAGTTCAACCCTTTCATTGTGCATATGAGGAAAGAGACCAGGGACAGATGTGAAGGGTCCTAGAGCTCAGGTTTTTCTCCTTTTGATCATTTTATCTGAGACAGAAATCACAGGTGAAACAAAACAGAACTGGGATCTTCAGAGCAAGGCTGCAATCTTGTGGGTGTGTTTACAATTTTATTTACATGCCCTCCACTGACCATGAATAACTGCACTGGGAAGCACAGTCCTTCACCTTACCACAAGGCCTGCAATACCTACTCTTCCCAATTCAGGGTTTTAGTGTCCCTACTGTGTGCTCCTAGCCCTCCCTGCTTTTCCCATGACAGTGCTTACCAACACCGTTTTAATTACTTGTATCTAAATTCCCATTAGCTCACAGCTAATTCATCATTGTATCCCTGAGACCCGGCCTGGGCCAGTTCAATAAGTTCATTACATCATTCAACAGATATTTATTTGAAGATCCATTATGTACCAGGCTCTATTCTATGTGCTAGAGATATAGCACAAGGCAAAACAAAAGTCCCAGCCCTCTTGGACATTGCATTGTATGGAGGTGTAAGATGTCATTTAGTTGCTTCTCAGATCCCTTTCACCCAGCCAGCACATCCTCCCCAATTTTCCTGAGGGTTAGCTCCCTTCTCCCAGCTGCTCAATTCCCAAGAGAATTGCCCTCTGCTGAGGGGTATTGCCTCAATGAGGAAATCACAATGCCCTCAGTTCCCACCCTGCAGCCCCGCAGCCAATAACTGACAGATATGAAGGCACAAAGGGCAAGCCTCTTACCAGGAGCTTCAATCAATGCACCAAAGACACTCCATGTGAAGGCTAGACCCCCCCCCTGAAACCACACCCATGCTCAGCTGATTCACCCACAGCTGGTTCCACAGCCCCATTCTGTATCACCAGGTGGAGAGTGCCTGGAGAGAAGCACTAAAGGAGGTCTCTTCACAGGGAAATAGGAAGCTCAGTCCACAGAGGTTTCACTGCCTCCCCTAACCTCAGTACATAGAGCTCAATGTTCCTGAATTATTTAAGTAGAAGGGTTGCAGTAAGGACAAAGCTTAGTCTTATGAGAAGCAGGGCAGTGTAACACATACTCATCGGCCCTCTGAAAGCTGACTGTCCAACTCCAGAGCAGACTGAGAAGAGAGCTCAGGTTTCTTAGTTCCTATATCAAGTGTGTAATCGGCTGGTACAGGGTGCTGCCCCTCTTTTATTTAGGTTTGGACTGGAGTAGTTAGGGTCTAGGACCACCTAGCTTGTCTTCCGGGTGCTGGGGAAGGGAGTGCACACGTAAGTCCCAGCTATTCTGAGGGGCATCACTGAGAAAAAAAAAGGGCCGCATGAGAACCAGAATGCACAGCTGGCTGAGACCTGAGCACTGGGCTGAACACTGACACTGTGTGGCCAGGTGGCAGAGGCATAGCCCTTAGCTCTCAGAGAAGGAGAGGAGCAAGAGAACAGAACAAGAGTGGCGTGCTCCCCTGGCTGCCCATGATTCCATTTCCTATTAGAAGATATCAAATCACACCCCAAATATCAAATGCTCCCAAATCAGCAGGATGTTTACAGAATCTCAGAATCTGCTCAATATCTTTCCACCCATTCTTCTTTCCTCATCAGCTCATTGAATTCATTTGTGTCAATATTTTACTTGAGGGGTGTGGGGGGGATACCATAACCTATAAGCCAGCCAGCCAAAACACAATTGCATAGCCATGGACAGAATCTGAGTCTTCTTGGACAATCTATACTCAAAGAAAATAATCTTTGTGCTTAAATTATCTAAATTGGCTCTTTTCTCTCTAAATGTATTAAATTTTGACCTTCTAAATTGCTTTAGCTCTACTGACCCATAGGTAATCTTTTGTGCTGCCAAATAAGATGTGAGGAACAAACACCATCTTATAATGAGAAGTTGGAAACCCAGCTGACCCTAGCCCTACCACTAGATGTAGTTCAGAGACTTTGTTGAAAAGACCAATCAAGAGTATTTTATCAATCAGCTATTTACTTCCACAGACATTACTTTAGAGATTTTATCCTATCAAACAATGCTGATGCTAACGATTTAACCAGAATCAAACTAAATGCCAACAGAAGCCCCTGCCCTGTACATTAATCATCCTAATACAGTTTAATCCTATGCTTCCCAGCACAGTAGTGAGGAGTTTCTGTCAACAGCTCCATCCCTGTCTGTTCTGGTTTGTTTTGCACAGATAAAATCAATAGTCAAGGATTGATGATTTCATTGGCGATCCTCCCTGGGCTCACAAATAGCTCAGTGAGGATCAGGAGAGACCAGACCCAGGATAACTCAGTAAAAGCCATTGTCTATGGGAGAGACATCAGAATAGGACCAAATGACAGTGACATTAGTTAAGAAGGAGCATGGGTCTGTAAAGTATGATCTCTGAGCTAAACTATTCAAACAAAAAAGACATAATCTTGAAATAATGGTTAAATTGATGTGATCTACTGTGAAAGTTTCCAACCCCATCTGTGATAGCATCCAAGGCCAAGCCCAGTCAGGCAGAGTGGGAATGATGTTATCTGTACCCCTAGTTCTGACTAGACAAACACAACCACCCACAAAAGCACTAGGGCTAAGCCAATTGTCACCAAGCAATAGTCCCCAAACCCTGGAGTGATAGAAAAGCTGCTTCTTTGCTCACCTTTCAGCAAGATAATAAATGTCAGAATATCATGTGGGTAGCCTATGGGATTAAAAGTCACAGGCCTGTTAAACTTAGATAAATAAATATAATCGAAAGCATTCTGATTTGGCTAAAAAAAAAGAGAGATTCAATTATTTATTTTTTAGCTTTAGGTGAATACAATACTTTTTTTTCATGTGGTGCTGAGGATCAAACCTAGCGCCCCACATGTGCAGGCAAGCACTCCACCGCTTAAGCCACAACCCCAGCCCAAGAGATTCAATTATTTTCCCTGGAGCAAATTTCAGAATTCAGATACTTTTATTTTGAGGATACAAAAAAGAAAAAAAAAGAACTGATATGAAGTCAAGTGCTAGCTAATGAAAGATCAACAACTCTACTGGTAGAAAATAGTTTATATTTCCACTTCACCAAACTCTCCATATTGATTTTCTCCTAATGACCTAAGAGCGTTGCACAGTTATACTAATATCAGAATCATTCAATGGTCAAAATAGATAGTTTGCATCTATTGTTCAGATTAACTTGTGATGGTAGTAAACTGACTTATAATCCTTTAAACTCGTTAACTATGGGGTGGAAATCAAAACCACAACTGAAAAATGTCAAAGAGAACTTATCTATTTTCTTCAAGAGTATTTGCATAAAATTACCTATCTTTAAATTTTTTTTAAAAAACTTAACAGTTATTTTCAGTTAGTGGTCTAGCATGTTAGCAACTTGGAAGTTACCAACTCAATGTACCATCAAGTAAAAAACTGAACAAGCTGAAAAACCAATACCTCTCCTTAGACCTGTTAGAAGGATGAGCTCATGGCACAAATGTCTGCCCTCAAAACTGGAATGACATGGGGCTGGGGCTGGGGCTCAGCAGTAGCACACTTGCCTGGCATGTGTGAGGCACTGTTCAATTCTCAGCACCACATATGAATAAATAAAAAAATATATAAAAGTCTCTCAACCACTACAAAAATATTTAAAAAAAAAACCTGGAGTGACAAGCAGGTGAATATAGAGAATCACAACACCCCAAAGCAGAAACTCAACGATCAAAAACCTTGAAGGGAAGTAAGCTTACGTAATAAAACTGAAACCTTGATTAATGAATTCTATAAGTTCAATGTGGATAAGTCTGAGAGTTACAACATTTAGGGGGATGCAATCCATGAAGGGACCCCATTTTGTGAATTTTAACTGCTGGATATCTACCAGGTTCTCACAGTGAATTTTGGAGGAAAAAAAAAATGTGCCTTGGGGTAAGCGGGGGGAGAGAAAAAGGTTGTGTTTTGAAGGAACAACTTTTAAGTATGCCAGGGCATGGCCTCAGGAGAAATTATTTAATCTGAGCCTAATTTGTGTGGCTTTATTAGAGCCTAACAGACCTTGGGGAAGGAAAATACTCAACTTCAACAGGCTCTAACCTTTCATGTGGGAGGAGAGAAATATTCAACATGAGCCCATTCAAGCCATCCCATCCCACCTAAAGGAGGAGGAGCAACTGAGAAGCATTTCTGAAATTCACTGTCCAGAGGAACAGACTAAAGACCGCAACCTACAGAAAAGGATAGAACACTTCCTCACCCCCACACCTTCCCACCATAGCACTAAAGGTCTAGTTGCAGCAGTTCCCATGTCCATCATGTCTGGCTAACACCAAAAACAAAAACAAACGAACAAATAAACAAAAACACAAGGCATATTAAAAGACAAAACACATAGTGTGAAGAGGCAGAGCAAGCACCAAAATCAGATATGGCAGAAATGTTGGGATCGTCAGACTGGGAATTTTTAAAAACTATGATTAAAATATTAAGAGCTCTAATAGATATATTAGACCACACACAAATGGTTCTAATCACAAATGGGAAATGTAAGCAGAAAGATAGGGCTCCTAATAACCAAAAAGAAATGCTACAGATTGAAAACTATAATGGAAGTGAAGAATACCTTTGATGGACTTATTAGTGGGCTGAATACAACTGAGGAAAGAATCTCTGACTTTGATGATATTTTCACAGAAACCCCCAAAACTGAAAAACAAACAAAAAAAAATACTGAAACAAAAGTAGAACACAATATCCAAGGACTGTAGGACAACTATGAAAAGTGCTGTATGCACATAATGGGAATAACAAAAAGGGCGGGGGGAGAAACGGGAGAAAATCATATTTGAAGCAATAATAACCAAGAATTTCCTCAAACTAATGTCAGACACCAAACACAGATCCAGGAAGCTGATGCATGCAAACACACACACACACACACACACACACATCACTTCTACACTTAAACCATGTTTAAACCATATCACATTCAGACCACACAATGTCAAATATGGGGGAAAAAATTCTCAAAGAAGCCAGAGGAAAAAAATGCCTTTCCTATACAGGAGCAAAGGCAAAAATTACTTCCGATGTCTCAGAAACCATGCAAGATGTTAGAGAGAATTATTTAGTGTTAAGACAAGAAAAAAAAAAGGAAAAACCAACCCACCAACCTGAAATTCTTCACCTGGAAAAAAATTTCTTCAAAAATGAATTAAGAGAGTTGGGGCTGTAGCTCAGTGGGAGCACGTGTGAGGCACTGTGTTTGGTCCTAAGCACTGCATTAAATAAAATAAATTAAAAAATAGAGTCATGCTGTCCATCTACAAATACAAAAAATATTTTTAAAAAAAGGTGAAGAAGAAATAATGGTCTTTAAAAAAATGTTGAGGGAATTTGTTGCCAGTATATCTATATCACAAGAAATGTTTTTTAAAAGTTCTTTAAAGAGAAGAAAAGTCAGAAACTCAGATTTACATAAATGAAGACAGAGAATAAGCAAAGGTAAAATTGAAAACTTTTAATATTCTTACTTGATCTACACGTAACAGTTTGTTTCAAAGTCATAATAGCAACAATGTATTTGTTATTTTGTACACATGTCAATGTATATATGCTTGATGTAAAAGCTGAATGAATAACAGAATTACAAAAGGGATAGCAAGCAGAAATTAGAATTATTATGTTATAAGGTACTGCACTAATCATGAAGCAATATTGTGTGATTTGAAAGCAGACTCGGATTAGTTCTAAGTGCATACTGGAAACTCTAGGAAAACCATCAAAAAAGTTTTTAAAAGAAAAATAATTCTTATGCTAAGAAGGCAGAGAAAATGATATTACATTAAATGCTCCATTAAAACTATAAATGATAGAAAAATTGGAATACAAAAACTGGAACAAATAACAAAGGCAATAAAATATAAAGCAATAGCAAACATAGTAGATATTAGTAATAACTTTAAACACCAGTAGTCTAAATGCACCAATTAAAAGAGACTGTCAGTGATCAAAAAACAAAACTCAATGTAAGTTGTCCACAAGAAACCCACCAAATAGAAGGACACAAATAGTTTAGAGTTAAATTATTGAAGATATATCATGCAATAAGAAAAGAAAATTAAAGGCATACTAGTGAGGAAAACAGAAATAAAGCTATCTTTGGACACAGGAGACATCATCATCTGTGCAGAGGATCTAAAAGTGTCAACAACAAACTCCTGGAAATAATAAGTAATCATAGTAAGGTTGCAGGATACAAGTTTGATATACAAGAAATGAACAAGTATGATTTGAAATTAAAAACACAAAACCCCTTACAATGGCAACCCCCCCAAAAAAGATATATATATTTAGGTATGTATCTAACTAAATATATACAACATTCATATGAGGGTAACAACAAAGCAACGGTGAAATACATCAAAGAAATAAGTAAATGGAAAGATAGTCCATGCTCATGGGTAGGAGACTCAATATTGTAAAACTATCAATTCTTCCCAATCTGATCCAAAGATTTAATACAATCTCAGTCAAACTCTCTGCCAGTTATTTCATGGATATAAACAAACTGATTCTAAAGTTAATACACAGACCCAGCAGAGCCCATACAATATTGAAGGAGAAGAATAAAGTCAGATGACTGACATTATCTGACTTCAAGACCTGCTATAAAGTGCAGTAATCAAGACAATGTGGTATGGTTGAAAGAACAGTGTTTTAGTCAGTTTTCTGACCAGAACAATTATAGAGAAGAAAAAGTTTATTTAGAGGCTTACAGTTTCAGAGGTCTCAGTCCATGGACAGCCAGCTCCATTCCTCAGGACTCAAGGGTGAGGCAGGACATCATGGCAGAAGAGTGTGGCAAAGGGAAGCAGCTCACATGGTGGTCTGAAAGCAGAGAGAGAGAGAGACTCCAATCTCCAGATACAAAATATATACCCCATGGCCACGCCCCCAATTCCTGCCATCTCCAGCCACACCCTACCACTTCAATTAGCACACAGTTAATCCCCATCAGGGGACTAAATCACTGATTGAGTTAAGAATCTTACACCCTAATCATTTCTACTCTAAAACTTCTTGCATTGTTTTACAAGTGAGTTTTACGGGGACACTTCACATCCAAACCATAGCAAATAGGCAGATAGATCTATGGGACAAGATGGAGAGCTCAGAAATAGACTCACACAAACACAGTCAATTGATCTTTGATGAAGGAGCAAAGGCAATAAAGTGGGGGGAAAGAATCTTTCAACAAATGATGCCAGAACAAACGGGGGAAAAAATAAAAGAAGGTAGACACAGACCTGACACCCTTCACAAAATGAACTCAAAATGGATCTTAAATCTAAACCTAAAATACAAAACTGTAAGACTTCTAAAAGATAGAACAAAATCTAGATGATCTTGAGTTGACAATTACTTTACCAAAACATTACTTGTAGTGAGCTCAGTGGAGCATGCCTGTAATCCCACTGCTTGGGAGGCCGAGGCAGGAGGATCACGAGTTCAAAGCCAGTCTCAGCAAAGCGAGGAGCTGAGCAACTCAGTGAGACTCTGTCTCTAAATAAAATACAAAAGAGGGCTGGGGATGTGACTCGGTGGTCAAGTGCCCCTGAGTTTTATCCCTGGTACTACTACTACTACTACTACTACTACTAATAATAATAATAATAATAATGATAATTTGTATCTCAATACCAATATGAAGAAAAGATGGATTAGCTAGATGTCCTTTAAATTAAAATGGTCTGTTCTGTGAAAGATACTGCCAAGAAAATGAAAAGACAAGTCACAGACTAGGAGAAAATATTTGAAAAAAAAAATATCCACAAAGAACTATTATCCAAATTGCCGCAGTCCGGCTGCAGCAAAATAACCGGGGGGTGACGAACAACTTGTGAACGTTGATACAGCAGGAGTAGGAGCCGTTTATTGCAGGACAGGAGCAGTATTTATACATTTCACAGAGCTTATCTAATTAGCATAAACTAGATACATCAGTCAACCAATAAGGAATTTCCACACTTAATGGCTTGTTTTTGTTACTTCTTAAACCACTCCCTCAGGCATTTTTCCAGGCACCATCTAGACTTGTTTACGAACTCTAACATTCCCCTGGCAAGATGCCAGGTGTTATTTTTGACTTGTTTACAGACTCTAACACCAAATTTTACAAAGAACACTTAAAACTGAACAATAACAAAACAAATAACCCAACTAAAAAGTGGACCAAATAACTTAACAAACACCTCACCAAAGAAGATATACCTATGGAAAATATGCTCCACATCCTATGTGATCAGAGAATTGCAAACGAAAACCAAGAGATAACACCACATGCCCATTAGAATGAACACAATCTAGAACATATTCAACACCAAATGCTGGAGAAGGTGTGCAGAGACAGGCGCTCCCGTGCAGGACTGGCGGGAATGCAGATGGCACTGTCATCTTGGACAGCAACCACAGTTTCTTACCAACTAAATAGCCTCACCGTACAATCCAGCAATCACTCTCCTTGGGATTTGCCCAAAGGATTTAAAAACTTATATCCACACAAAAACTTGCACATGGATGTGTATAGCAGCTTTATTTATAATTGTTGAAATTTGGAAACCACCCAGATGTCCTTCAGTAGGTGAATGGATAAATAAACTGTGGCTCATTCAGACAATCTGATATTACAGAGTGTTAAAAGAGACGGACTATTAAGCCATAGAAAAACCTTAAATTCATATTACTAAATGAAGGAACCCCATATAAAAAGGCTACATATTACATGATTCCAACAATATGACCTTATAGGAAAGGTAAAACAGAGACAGCTGAAGCACAGAGGATTTTTAGGGCAGTAAAATATTCTGTATGATACTATAATGATAAATACATGTCCTTTTATGGTTATCAAACCCATGCAATGTGCAGCAGCAATAGTAACCCCAATACAAAGTGTGGGCTTTGGGTGATTGTGATGTAGGTTCGCCAATAAAAAATTCACCACTCTATCGTTGCAAAGAGGATGTTGATAACAGGGGAGACCACACACATATGGGGATGGGGGGATGGGGGAAATCTCTGTATCTTCCAATTTCACTGCTAAATGAAAACGGCTCTATAAAATAGTCTATTTTTTTTAAACCCAGCATTTTAGAATGATACAAAATAATTTCTAAAGTCATTATCAATATTAGTAAAAATCAACCAAAAAAGTTAAGAGAAAAGAAGAAACACTGACAATAGATGTTTGCGGGGGGAAAAATGATAAAGCATAGTGCATTTAAACTTTAAGGGAAAGTATAGGAAAAGCTAATGAGAAGAAACTGGTGTCTGGTAGCGCCCTTGTTTCCAAGTCAATTAAGTCACCTTCACAGAGGACACCTAAAGGCATATGCCAATAGCCAAGACTAGACAAATCACAACAAATTTTTTAGCCTTGCATGTTTTGAGTAATATGCAAAGAGATGTAGAAAAAACAATGTTAATATAAAGACTCTATCCTATAAATATGAGAAATGTCAATGACCCTGTGGTGGTAAAGCATGACTCCAACTGCTCTCCTTCCAAATGCACCCAACTCTCGTTTCTAGAGACGGCAGAAGCCCAGCAGTTCTAGGTTTACTGTAACCCTAGCAGATATGCAGTACTGGTGGGCTACACGGACCAAAGCTGGTTTCTATATGCTACCAATTGACACATGTATGGCTTCCAAAATGCCAACTTTGAAACTTGAGATGGTTTAAGAAAGGTGTAAGAGAATGAAGGAAATAAAACTATCTTGAAAGTTGGCTTCAGTTACTTCCCAAAGAGTGGGTTCCAAGGTTTGACATGGCCTCTAAGACAGGATATCTATAGGAGTCAGTAGCTGGCAGGAGTTCAAGTACAGACCCCAGACCAGACCAGCAGCAGTTGGTGGGTAGAGAAGTATTCCAAGAATAAGTCTCATCAAAGTTGTCCCGCAGTGACAGCACAGAGCAAAAACATCGCCTCCCCTGACTCAGGAACAGATGGCCCTTCCCATCAGCCACACCTGTCAAAACTATTCTCCCCCCAAAACCCCTTCAAACCTCGCAACCAGGTTAGAATGCTCTCTCACCCAGGCTCCAGAGCATTTAGCACGTCTCATGATATTTTAAATATTCCATTTACACTATAAATGTGCAATTGTTTAATCCCCTATTAAAAGGTAAAGACATAGGAGCATTTTTTAATCCCCATAACACCGAGTGCTGTGCCCTGACCTGGTAGGAGCTTACCATTTGTCACACTGAGAAGATATGACCTGCCACCAATCACCAGAAGGTTGCCAACATTAATAAGTATTTTTATTTGAAAGCCTCAAAAACAGATATTCCAATAGGAAAAAAATATATATTTATTAGGTTCGGATTGAACTTTTATGCTTTTTTTTTTAAAAAAAAAAAAGATTATTTGGTTTAAAAACCTAGTACTTAAAAGATTTCCTTATTAAATCACTGGAAGCAAGCAGAAATATGCAATATGATGAAGCAACATTTAAATTATTAATAACAATTAGCCATGGTAGATCAGAGTGCTTTTCTTTTTCTGCCACTGAAATGTACGTGCTGTCCCTTCGGAGGGTGTAACATGCCATTGAAATCCTACCTGCCCCACCACAAAAACTGTATGGAGCCCGCCCGCCAACCCCAAGTGTCTTATGCTTCTTCTCCTATCTCATTCTAAGAAAATGCCCAGTCATTTTCATCAGGCTTCTGTTCCAAGTACTCAGCCCGTACCCTGTGTTTCAGAGGAGGGCATGCCAAGTGGCAGGAGCCAGAACGGCACAATAAATCCATGATACCCAGGCTGATCATAACCACTGAGTTGTCAACAGTCTATTTTGCACTCATTATCCCAAATAACTCATGAGGATGATAACTTTGGTTTGCGATCCTTTCGACTAGTTAACTATGGGATGGAAGATCAAAATCACAAGTGATAAATATCAGTTTTTTAGAGAGTTGCCTATTTTCTTCAAAAGCACGGAGCCAGAGAACTTTACCAGCAAGTGACTTCAGCGGGACAATAGAGAAATGAATGTCAGGATGGCAAGAAATCAGTTTCTGGAGGTCCTTGCCTCTCCAGGAGGGATGTTAACTCTGAATTCTGATTGAGGAAGCCTGAGGATTTGGCCCAATTCTTGTTTCTACAGATGAAGAGGAGACCCAAGCAGCACACACACCCCGGGAGCCTGCAGAACCAGTACATCAGAAATAGCAAGGGAATCCAGGGTGCTCAACAGAGGGTCTGGGAGGCAGCAGGAAGTCAAGAATCCTGTCTCACTCACTGTCTCTGACACAGGGTAGTGGAACACATAACAGGGCAGGAGTTCAAGTACCGACCCCAGACCAGACCAGAAGCAGCACACCACCCTGGAACATGTTAGAAAAGCAAATACTTGCCCCGCACCCCTCCCCACCAAGACCTACTGAATCACAAATTCTGGAAGTAAAGCACTACATTTTTGTTTTAACAAACACTTCAGGTATGAACCTTGCAACAGGAGATAAATAGGCAGTTATTGGTACTGCCTTTTGGAAAAGTTCAACTTGCATCTGGCTAGGGATGTACCTAGTGTTCTGAAAACTCACTGAAGATCTCACTGCCAATACACTGTCAAGGCCAAATTCTCAGAAGAATTTGAGAAATGACTCCACTTTCCTATCCAGAGTTACTCATCAGTTCCAATAATTTCCAGAAAGGGACAACACAGTGTCAACTTGGGCTGAGCTACCTCTACCAGGACCTGCTGTGCAACACAGTTGCCTGCACCATGATCATCATCAACCTTGTCAATGTTTACATAAAGTTTACTGTATGCCAAGCCCTGTTATTAGAACTTTATAAATAATAATCCACGTAATCTT